AGGAAAGAAAATAAAGGGTAATTATCTAAAACAGGGCAAAATCTTCCTCACCTCTAGTCCTCTCACAGTCAGGTCTAGAATCATGATCCTCACCATTGCCCCTTCAGTTAAACTGACTCCCCCCAGAAGTGGGTTGAATACCAACTTACAGGTGGGGCCTCCAGGACCACTTTCAATGCTGCAGGCCAGGTGCTTCACGACCCCTACAATGATTCTGCTTGACAACCCTACCCTATTAGGGCTGGGCACCTGTTGTTGACAACCCTACTCTATTAGGGCTGGGCACCTGTTGTTTGGCTCCCTGCTGGTCCTAAGTTCCCTGAAGATAGGTGTTGAGTATGTTTTATTCAGCCCCAGCTACTTCTACCTGAAGAAAAATACTAGACATTGGATAATTTACAGTAGGCTTCTGAAGGACTAGTTGGAGTTGAACAGACATGGTTGTAATAAGGGAATCACAATGGAGAAAGCCAAGATTTCTCTGCTCTGGGCTTAAGGAAGAACGGCATGGAGGAGCCACCTAGAACCCCCAACTGTAACACATAGAATAGAAAATAAACTATCATTACCCCGAAAGCACTGTGGGCCTTGCCTGTTCCAGCATCTTCTGTAACGGACTGCAGAGGATTTTCCTGCTTCTGTGTGCAATAAAAAGATGTTCTTTTAAAAATAAAGGTTGAAAAGACATTTCAAATTCTAAAAATAGAAAAGTTTATGCTGCTCTCTTGGACAGCTTTTCTTTTCCTGTTTGTGTATATTCTTAATCCTAGGTTTAAATCAGATAGTATTTTTCCCAACGCAATATTCTTATTAATTATTTGGGAATTGCATACAATGCATCCCAGTCACACTCACTTTCCTCATTACTTCCAGGCCCACACCCTCCCACCCTTTTGCCCTCCCCAGAAGACAAACAAGCAAACCTACCAAGTCAGGTTTGTGTTGCCTGTATACTCACTGGAGCAAGGTCAAACTCCCATTAAAGAAAACTTAGTCCTCCCCACCCCTGAGACCCTCCCTCTGCCATCAACTGTTGAAGAGTGCTACACTTGAGCATATAAAAGTGTTTAAAAACAAATAACCCCCCCAAAAAACGTTACTTTCTTTGACATGGTCTGTGTAAACAAAATACTATCTCACAAGCAGCAGAGAAAGCACATGAATGAATGTTAGGACAAAATAAACTCTAGAGAGAGAGAGTTTTAAAATAGGAAGGGACATTGTGTTAATAAAATCCATGTTTGAATTCAAACCCATATCCAAAATTTATATTGCAAGTGGTAGTTTGAAATTAGAGTCAGAGGGCCCTCATATTTGTGACATAAAGTTTAACATTAAGGCTCATACAGTGAAATTTCAAGGTACAAACATCCACACTCCATAAAGGGGGGTTCCAAACGTGTAGTGAGTGGGTACACTTCATCAAGGGGCCTTGCCTGGTTCTGCGTTTACACATAGCACCCAATCTCTTCATTTGCCCCGGGACAATTTCATGGAAAAGTACAGTGTTCACAAAATAAATCTCTGCTAAGTGGCTCTTTTTAAGTCAGCGGGCTGTGGTGGGTACCGCCTGGAATCCCAGAGCTTGAGAAGTCCATCAAGAGTTCAAAATTATCCCCAGCTACATGCAGAATCTACACTGACCTAGGCAAATGAGACCCTGTCTGACACAAGGCAAAACAAAAAATCGACTTTAGGTTAACGGTCCTGTTTCTAGGAAATGAATCAAAGTTCCTAATGTTGGTGTATTTCACAATATTTTTCTCTCATCGTATAAATAGGAGAAATAGAAGACTTGTTCCATCTTGGCTTATGTTTTTCAACAGTAAGCTAGCCAATGGCAAGTAACTGGGAGCTGAAAAGCAGGTGTTCAGGAGTAACTAAAACCCCATCTGTCTCCAAGACTGTCCTTTTTCTGCCGCTGGCTGGGTCCGGGAAAACGGATAAAGGAGCGAGTCTGGAAAAACTGTCCATGGTTCTCTCAAAAAGAGCTGCAGAACTCTATTTCCCTCCCAGGGGATGTTTTGAGCAGAGGATCCCAGTTCTGTCCCTCATCACCCTGAAAGCTGCCAGCCAACCCCATGCAAACCTAAAAGGTTGAAGCTACCCCAAGGATATGTCTGCAACCCCTGGCAGGGAGGGAGGCGGGCAGCCTAGGCCGAGTGTCACTGAAGAAAGTGCTCCCTCCACCCCATGACCCTGGAAGGAAGCCCCGGCTTCTCTCCAGATGTCCCTTACCGTTGACATCCCCAGACTTCAAGGGACCCACTTCGTTTGTCCACAGCCCATGCGCTCCAAACTCCAAACTGCTCAGCTTCCACCTCCGCTGGTCCGCTGGTCGGAGACACTCGCTGAGATCAAAGCGAGGATCTGAGTCGCAGGTGACTCTTGGATTTCAGTTTTCTCCAAGAACTCCAGTTGGATGCACCTGGTCCTGAACTCTACTGGATTCCGGTGTTTGAGATTCTAGAAAGCAAAGCGGGTGAACGGCAAGATCAGGCCGCCTGCCTGCCCGGGCACGCACACCTGCAGAGGAGGGCACACCAGCTAGCACACCTTCAGGAACCGAGCTGTTCTGAGCTCGCACCCTTGTGGCTGAAGCCAGTGAAGTTTACTCCTCTCCAGAAACCGACCAAGTTCCTAGCCCGAATCACTTAAGTATGGTAGTTTAGGTGTGGTTTGGTATCAGGGTCTCATTCTGCACTCACATGAAACTCACTCTGTAGCCCAGAAAGCTTAGTAAGAGTGAGCCATCTGGCCAGGGTCCCTGCTGCTCGTGGCCAAACAAAATCGCCCTGGGAAGGGGAATTCAAATTCAGAAGGAGGTGTGGTCCTTGGACACGGAATTCCTAATACAACCCGCTACCATAAAATAAAGACTTAAATAGTACCTTAGTCAGAAGGAAAAGGGTCATATTTATTTTCCTAAATTTCACTATGTAGCCTCGGCTGAACTCTTGCCTCAGCCTCCTGTGGTGCTGTGATTACAGACTCCTAAGAGAAGGATTTAAAAAAAAAAAAAGCTTGGTTTCCAAATACTTCATTTAACCTAGTTGTGTTCGTGTGTCTGTGTGCATGCTTGTAGAGAGATCAAATATGTGAACCCCACAAAAAAATAAGTTGTATTATGGATTTCATTGTAAGCAAACAACATTGGAGAGGCGGCTCAGCCTGCCATAAAGCCTGGGGACCTGAGCTTGAGCCCCAGGATCCAGATGGTAGAGGGAGAGAACTGACTTGCACATAGCACTGTAGCACGTGTGTATTCACGCCCCAGCCTCCCCCCCAAATAAATTCCCCCTTCATCCAAATATCCCCAAACAGAGACTGTATTTTATGCTGCGATGCTTACAGAAGACATTTGCCTACATGAACACGAAGCATATTAGGTTTAACTGCAATCAATCCCTGTTAGTAAGCCAGAACTTGCAAGTTTGTCTCAACAGTACTGAATACATCAGCTCCTAGAAAATGTGATAGTGATGCACCGTAATTCATTTACCTATTTTAGCTTGAGCCTTGCGAATTCGGAGGCTTGCTCCCTCCTCAAGGTAACAGATTCTTGCATATTAAATAGTGATCAAGACTATGACAGACGTGAATGCAGAGTCTCTTAAGTCAGCAAATAGTGACGCAGGGAAGGGCATAGCCTCTAAAAAATGGTGATCAGAATCCAACGTAGACACATCCCACTTTGGAGAATAAAATATTTTAATAATTAATATCTTAATTATTTTAAATAATTATTTTTAAATAAATTAATTAATTTTTTCAAAAATATTATCAAGGGGATATCATTTTCAGAATTTGGGAAAAATTATATACCCCCAAATCCTATAGTGGCAATGCAGTCCAACCTTCAGAAGTTATTAAAAGCAACAAGACAGAAATTAATACATCATAACTCGCTTGTATTTTCACTTTGATTAACTTCTTTTACTAACATATTCTACACTCAATTATAAGGCAACCTGAAACGTATGTTTTAATTCTTCACAAACTAAAAACCATCTTGTTGCTTTGTTTTGTTTTGTTCTGGAGTAGCTTGTTATGGCCTGGCTTTGATCTTCCTCTATCGTCCTCCCAATTAGGGGGTCACAGGCTTGCACCAGCACCCTGGTTGAGTGTGTTGATTGAGTTGTTTCCTCTCCCTTCCCAAACAAATTAATCGGCATTTAACACACAAATTACATTTTCTGTTTGTGTGGTGGAGGTTACAACACCAATGTCCTGGAATCTGTTCCCTCTGTTTTTTGAGGGCTTTGACTGAGATCTTTAGACTTGTTCATTGAATGTTCCTACCCACTAAGCCGGCTCGTGCCTGCTGCTGGCTCTCCAATCTCCATCAATTTTCCCACCTCGAACTGGAACTAGCTCTGGGGAGACTGCTGGAAACCTTTGCTTCCAGAGCCTCAACCTAAACCTTCTGGAGAACCAACAGAGAGGTTGATAAATGAAACTGTCCTACTTGCTCCCGACTGTTCCAGGCTTCTGCTAAGTAGAGAAGCCTGCTGGCAGCTGGAGTTTCAGGTGCAGGAGAGGTAGCCCAGCAGAGGAGAGATGCCAGTGTGTCTGTACAAACCTGCTTAAAGATGCTTCTGTTCAGATGGATGCATTTCAGCACCTCAGCCAATGACAGGGCACCCACAGCCGCCTCTCTCTCTCTCTCTCTCTCTCTCTCTCTCTCTCTCTCTCTCTCTCTCT